TCAGCCATTTGGTTGTTACGCACCTCAGTCTTCTGGACACTCAAAGACGCACAAGCCAATGAACCCAGTAAAGTTACTTTCGCTTTGAATTGCTCACCCTATCAGCAGTCAGACGAATACCTAAGTCGTGGAACATGACGTACAACGAGTACCTCGGTATAAAAACTAGCCGGATGATTTTCCCTTCATCACGAATAATAAGGGAAAGATTAACTACCGCTTTGTCTCTTTCTTTCCACTGAACAGATTTACTCGTCTATGAGCATGAGAGAAGCTCGCCTTTTTGAATTTCTTGCGCTCAAGAGAAATCCACTTACTGTGTCTCGTATGGTGTCCATTAGCCGCACAATTCTCTTAGCTGCTGCACCGAAATGTTGCATTTTGTTGCGTATGTGCTCAAACCAAAAGCCATCCTAACCTACGTTCGTATTTTTGCAGCACACCTGTCCACTGGAGCAATTATATCTCTGGCGGAAAAGTTTGGTGGAATAATTTCTCAGCATCGCTGAGACCCCGTGATGCCTAAATGGGGCTCAAAAGTTTGGAGTAGTACTCTGAACTCAAATGACAGATTGCTTTAGTCCATCAGGGACTCGTCATAGATTTCGAAAATTCAATTGCATTGTGCGAATACTGAGCGTCATCTCGTACAGTAGAATTGGGAGCTTTTCTAGAGTACCACACAGACGCGCGCTGGATCATACTTGATTCCCTAGGTCAAAATAAATTTCCATCCCGAAGATGCCGGGGTAACTTAACTAACGAAAGATGTAATCCAATCCAGCAACTATCCTAACAGCTTGAAAAAAACACCTCTTTTGAATAATGGAACCAATTTGTGAAATTCGATTTCAAAGAAGCGTATTCATACTAAGATTCCTTACGCTCATGATCATGTTTTTGCTATTTAACCAGGCGTTGAATCCCATCCAGTGCCAAACTTGTGTTTAAGTCAACCTATATTTGAAGGCATATCCTGTTGTCTTTGCAAACTGCAACACTGGTTGTAGCTACCAGAGTTCGAAATTATTAATTAGCCTGAGGTTTCGGTGAGGCAGACGACGGTGAAACTGACAGAAAGCTTGAGGTATAGGAGAGAACACCCGCTAGAAATACTTTGTATATTCCCTTGACGCAGCTACTGTCGGTGATATCTCCAGTACTGTACTAATTAAAATATGAGGCCACCTTTGTGAAGTATTTTCAGGTGGAGAGTCAGCTGGAATTAGTTAACAACAAGTTATTTTGAAAATAGGTGTATTTCGCCTACTTCGTGCACTGTTAGGTTATCCCAGGGTAACTCTCTCAAAGACAGGGGCGAAGCACAGATCACCAGGCAATTGAACAAAACAGGACACAAAGTTAGACTGAAATACTCGCTTAAGATGTTGGCAAGAAACAGGCGGTCGTATTGATTGAAAGTTCTTGGTAATCTATTCGTTCTCTCTCTCTCTCTGCCTTCAGAAGTCAGTCTGCGACTTCCCTGATTTTACTGATTGCTTCAGACCTATATCGATTATTTAAAACGCAAGAAATGTCCAAGTAGGCGTCAGACATCTCTAATCAGGATGACTTATTCGTTTGTAGGCTCAAGCCGGCACCGTGCTCTCAAAATGACCCTAGCATAATCACGACGATTCAAAATCCGCGGAAACTCATAATGCCATACACATTTTGTGGTGGACGGGATTGAGGAAAATGGATTTGCAACGTAACATTCTTGTTCCCAGCATCTTGATCGAAATACAGTTATTGATGGCTCATCAAGAGATGTAGGTTCAAGGTCGTTTCGTGGGATTGTTAACCTTATGCAGGCCTTTCACCAGTGCTGTTTCGTAGGCCAATGATAACTTGGTTTTCCGGCGTACACATGAACACACATGTTCTCTTTTCTTGGTACCGTATATGTGTGAAACACTGGCCCACAAATTTGTCCAGTGGAAAGTGTGTAACCCGTTCCACCGGTTAGCTACTGTTTGCGTGGTTCACTTGTGTGATGCTACTTTAGGTGTAGTGAATGAACCTTCGCCTGACTCGTTGACCATTGCATCAGATTACCTCACATTTACAGTATACCACTTTACTTCAACTGAATTCTTATTTTACCGACAGTACCAAGCGCTGGGCACCGCAGTCTAAATCAGGCCCATGGAGACAGTTTTCAGCCATTCGGGGCTCAGTTTCCTGCTTTAACAAGTGACCGAATTGTTTGAGTAGCTAAAACGCCATTTGGTAAAACAAGTCATCGAGTTAACTGGTTGTCGACTGTTTACTGCTCTCATATGCACATGGTGAAGTACAATTCTCAGTTCATAAGTTCCTGGCCGCCTTTGTGCAGTTCTACCCGTATGTGACAGTATTCACTGTTCAGAAATGCCCATCGGTTTCGTTCGGTGGGTGCTGACAGGTCAAACAGGAGGTCGCTATTGCATCCATCAAACCATGCGAAAAAAGGGTGTTCTAGTGAAGAATTTAGCATATGAAGATGATGGACACATGATCTCATAAGGTCTAACGTTCCAAGACAAAATGCAAAAGAAACGGATACACAAAATAACAGACTGAAATGAAGAGTCTGCGAACGTCGGTGGGCTCCTGTCACCTGAGTCGTCACGAACGACCAACTTTTGCACCACCTGGTCATAACACAAATAATAATATTTCAGCCGTTGAACTTTTCGGTTCCTAGCATCCATGCCACCGAAAGGAAGCACAAGGCCAGAGATGATTCCAGGTTTCCCAAGCCTAGGCAGGAATAGCCAAGATGCTGAGGTTGGATTCGAACCACAGATTTCTTGTTCCGTTCTGCCGAACGTTGCACAGTTCTGTTTCACCTCAAGTCCTTTGCATGCTTCGAAATCCCTCTTAGGGTAAACTACTGATTAGGCCGAGCGGTATCAATGACATCGACAGTGTCTGTGAGACCGTGAAGTGATGAATCTAATCCAGTATGGTGTTCCCCTTTCGATAAGTAAGTCGGATTTGCACCAACCAAGTGTCTCCTGTCCGCTTCTAGGGTCTGGTTTCCTTGAGAAGGAATTACAAAGAATGTCTGAGTAAAGCGAACAGCAACAGCGAACCGCACAAATAAACCGTAGTGTATTGTCACCCATAGCGAAACATCCCTACTCACGACGGGCCATATATTGAGGCTATCTAGTTTCTCCTACAAAACTATGGCCTTCAACAACTGACCGTCAGTAAAGCACCGCTTAGTTTGATGCAGAAGACTGTGGAAAATATGAGAATAAAAGTATTCATTCTGACTGTATCTGTGTGCATTACGGAATGGAACAGTTGTATCTGACTTGTGCATACGGTTAATTTGAGCAACAGTAAACACGACTGGGCTAACCCCCTTATGCTTCAATCGATTGAAAATGTTTGGAATCGAGTAAGAACTCATTGTTTCAGGAGGGTTTGGTAAACGATCGGTCGATTTTTATTTAAGCAACGTTTAGCAAAAGCTTCATCAGGCCAAGTGAACAAGTCAGCAAGTTGGCCAGGCTTTAATGTAGGCAGGGAACCAATCGGTAAGTCCTCTACAGATTATCATACTAGATCAGTGTTGAGTGTCGATTAACGGCCCTTGACGGCTAGTGTGGTTGGCAAAATCTTGAATTGTTTGGTCGGAGGAGTTTCAAATTACTTCCGATCGGCTTCAACGATCACTTGACAAGGCGAGCAACCGGGTAGTTGTGCCTTTGTTGTGAATAGCAAAAAACCTTCTCATGATTGTTCACGATGGAAGCAGCTTACGCCGATTCTATTGCGATGATGAAGCCATGCTAAAAACCGTCGGAATCCAACTGCATATCCTTGTTTTGCTCATCAGTAGCCCAGTAAGCCAAAGAGAAATTCCTTCCAGCTGAATTAAGTTCGCGTTAAATTTCTGAGGCTTTAAGTTCCGCGGTATCCAGAGCAGTAAATGGATCGTGATGGTGGATGATCTGAGGGTGGCTATGCATCATACGTAACAGAAAAACGGAGTTCGGTTTCTTCGTTTGGTATGATCCTAAGTTGCTGAGCTAAAGACTGTCAAAACTATATACTTTGATTTGTGGAATGAACTACTCATGAGGTTGCTGAAAACTCTTCGACAGCCCACGACCGGTTTCGCCCTTCTTAAGGCTCATCAGGTAGGTAGGCGCAATCCCCGAATTTCCGTCAACCTTATGTCTTACTTGAAACATGGAAACATCAGAACCGAGAGATTCAGCTGGATTCCAACTGAGCCTCTCGAAAAACCAAATTAGTTTGTAAATGAGTGTACTTCGCTATATACTTTGATGTTTTTTCTAACAGTCGTTGTTTCGGTTCCAGGGGAAGACCACAATATGTTACGCGCACAGTTCTCACAGTGTTCGTGCCTCTTTTAATGAGTGACGGAAAAAGTGGAATACGTGTGAAGAACATTTCGCTCCTCATTTCACAAATCATCAGTGGGTTGGCGACATCGGTTGAAGGGGGTGAGCCGTTCCTCAACGAAATTCAAACAGATGTGGAAAGGTATAGAGATTTAGGTGCATATTTCGTGACCTTATCTAAGAGTATCCCAAATCTGACTCTAAAACCATACTGTTTACATAGCATATACGGAGCAAAAGGATATCAGGTTTCAGAGTGCATTAATTCCTCATCAGTGCAGAGTGAGCACTCAAGACTAAACTGTTCTCAGAAGTTTGATATAAATGCATGGGTGGGTGAGCAGCTCGGAAGAAGGTCGAGGACTGTCGGTTCATCCTTCAAAACATTTGCATGAGAAAGCAGTTTATTCTGCCACTGTATCTGTAAGCGAGAGCCCGAAAAATCGGGTACAGGCAACGTAAGGCGATGAATCAGCACTGAGGTAATGGACAATCTCAGAGGCTGCTTAAGTTAACTAGGTCTAGGATGTCAGCTTGTTTCTGAGGAAGATGGCTAGAAAAATTGTCTCTCAGGAGTGATAGAAAAGAGAATGGTGCAAAATGGAAAACGTGGCCTTTGTGTTAATAACGCACCTATCTCCGACAAGTCACTGTTCACCCCGATCAAGCACTCTTCCTCTGCGCAGTGGTGTCCCCAAACCATTTTTGTTTCATTTCGTGTCTGGAATCACTTGTGCGGCAATATCAAATTCTTCAACCAAAGGTGTCTGTAACTGTTATGCCTAGGTTCCAAGCGTAACATTGGCTTGAGCGGTTAATTCAATCCAAATTTTGCGTGACACAGACAACCACCGTTCCGTATGTCCGAGAAAAATCAAGTATTCTAACTCCAAGTCATTAAAGGTGAAAGTCAAGTAAACTGACGACTTCAGGTTGAGTCCGCTACCAAAGTCCCATTGTTGGTTGGATGCTAGAAAAGTAGTCACTCTTCCAAGCACCTCCAGGAACGACCTGTCCATTGAGATGACTAGCCTGAAACCACACTGCTCCTTTTTCAACGCTGTCGTAACCTCTACACTTTACCGACTTCGAAATATGTTTGATGAACCTATATTTGCTAATGCATGTCATACGAAGACGATCGCTTTTGGCTGAGTTGAACCATTGGGTGACATTAGCTTTTCGCCCCCCCCCCTCAGTGCAGTCCAGCAAAGGTAAGTAGGGTAACATGATAATGAGCATTCATGGAGTCATATTAACGGGCGAATATTTCAACGTGTTTAGCTTCAACTACAGAACAGGAGCGCACCTTTGTGAAATAAGTGCTACCCGGTACTGTAATGTCTGTGTCATTTCGTAGAGCCTTGTAAATCCGATAAAGTCTTAAGACTATTAGTCCAACCCAATCAGCGAGTATTCTCGTCTGTATCTTTCGGCTCTGACGTGCCTATCGCCGAAATTTGATCAGGTTTTTTGACGGTGGCACTCGTGACACTACGCACACTAACGGGAAAACTGCTCGCTGCTTAGAAGGCTTGCATCAGTTCTCGTTTAACCTCTGCGTATCGCTGACTGGATAGCTGGATGCATCAGGTAGGCTGACCAAAGTGGGAGTTCACGCACATCTAACCGTCGAAAAACCGTGGGATGTCATTGAAGCTGGGTTCGGTCGGCTAGAAGACCGGATGAATTACTTCCGTGACAGGCGTTATTTTAATAGCAAATTGACAGTCAAATGGTTGTGCGGTCTTATACCATGCATACTTGTGAGGGTCAGTAGATATCTACCTGATCTGCCATAATCAATGGACCGATTGAACGCAGCAATCAATAACAAACGAGCACGCCGAAAGCGTGCTCATCAGCTTACTTTAGAAAATTCACTCCCTAACTCCGGCTTTATTTCATCTCCCTATGCGGTATAAGCAAAAGTCCCGAGCTAATACTGGATCTAAGGAAACTTCCTGGTATCCGTGGAACCCAAGCAGTTCGTTAATAATGAAATTATTAGTAATATAAATACTATGATTCGATCAGCAGGAAAGACAAGGAGTAAGGCTGCTTGAACAAANGTAAGGCTGCTGAACAAAAATAGCAACAGGAAGCTGACGTCACAGAGAAACCGATAGAATGACGACAATACAAAGTAGAAGTGAAACACGGTAGCAACAAGAAAGTAAACAGGTTATTGAATGAACAAACGAGATGCAAAAAAGCTGGGTTAAGGTATCAGTTTGGATTGCACATGGGGTAACTGAATGAAATCGGCCACAGCAAGGTGGTCAGGAGTTTGCGTGACCTGTTTTCAAAGTCCGAAGCATTTGAAATGCCTCCTGGAAGAGCTGTTTGTAGGGGGGCTGGTAGTCGTTGGACACTTGGCAACGAAGCTTGATGCAGTAGATCGCCTCCAGATGCCTAATGAATGTCGCATCATCAATCACATCTTTCAAGGCCTTCAAATCGTCTGCAGTGCAACTAGATCGTTCATTGGGTTGGGTTGAATGAGTTGATGAGCCAGATCCAAAGCGAGGTGGTGGACGGAGGCCATCATCATCCTGTGGATAGAAGGGAGCCAGTAGAGATTGAAAGGTCAAAATTTAAGCAAGAACAGTGGCGGATATGTATACAATGGCCCACACCAGAGCAGTTCTGATAGCCACTGAACTTCCAGGAGATTATTTGTACGGTGGTGGCATGCTAGCCGATTATCATTCTCACCCAGCTTTGGTACGCCGAAGTTTTCGTTACAGGCTGTATAATTTTGGGGCACATTTGAGCCAGCATCAGAAGCGTTGTGCGCTCCACAGTATCCTGAAGTGTTGCGATATATTAGTTTCGCCGATTCTGGACGAACGGTATCAGTAGACGGGGCGTAATCCCCGATCCCTTGATTACAACAAGGTTTCCATTCGAAATCACGCATGGCAGAATGATTGGGTACGATCCTATCAAAACCCCAAGCCAGTTTTTCGGATATTCAAACTGTGCACTAAGACCTCGATAGTCTTTTCCTTCTGTAGATTTATCTCTCATAAGAAACTAACAAGAGGTTTACAGCTACATGTATTCTTCCATCGGATCAATCATTGCCTTTTGAAAAAGTGGACTCCAAAAAATACTGCTTATATGGTCGTTGAAAGAATTGTATGGAGATGTAACAAGAATTTGAGAATCATCTTTCAGAAAATGCAATGAACCCTACCTGTACATGTTCCCGTTACATCTTCGCTTGATTTCATCCGAAACTGAGTGTACTTCTAGAACATGGTGCGAATCCAAACTGTTGTTCAACCAATTTAAACCTACGTCAATTCAGCATTCTTTTGTGCGGTTCGTTGGTTATTCACCGGTCGCTGAAGCCTACAGTTCCTCCTCTACGCCTTTACGCGTGCCCATAGTCTCTTAGATGAACAACAGATACACACCAACAGCAATCGTTGTCACATTACTGGCAATCTAAAGATAAGGATGGTTTTCGAGAAATACACTCATTCGCAAATCAATTTGGTTTTCACGGGAGACTCAACTGAATCATCCGTTTATTATGTCCTTCAACTGAATGTGCTGCACACAGGCCGCCTCATGATTCAGTTGGCACGATATTCGAGATATCGCAGTATATTTTCACGAAGGAAACTACTCACAAGGTTGATGTCGAAGAGTTTTCAGCAACCTTGTGAGTAGTTTCCTTTATGGAAATAAGGAAGTTTTTTTTCACCAATGGCATTGTCGTAAACTAATGAGAATAAAGGTCCGTCGGTTCAAGAAAATGTTTGAATGGGCACACCTCTAAATTTTACTCGGAAAATCAAAAGCGAATCTCAGGTAGGTGGAATTGATGAGCTGAAATGAGGTGCAGATGAATTTGTACACAACTATGACGAGTCAGCACAAAATACTTACAAAAAAGGAGTTTATGCCCGGATGTTTTGGTGTGGAGAATTTATCTCCTGAAGTGGGTACTCGGAGGTTCGATGCTGTAGGAACATAAAATATTCAGCAATGAATGGTTAGAAAACATGTGACAGAAAACAAGAATAGTGAAAGAAGCAATGATGTACTCTATCGTCCAAATCCCCGCTACCTCTCTAAGGTGAACACGATGGACGCTTGCGTATTCCAGAGTCAACAGGTCAATATGGATCTCACCAAACGAAAGAAAAGTTGGTATTTATAAAACCAATGGATCATACAATGAAAGGGAGTTCTACGAACACTAAGTTGAGTAACCTAAAAACAGCCAAGAGAATGGATTCACTTTTTCTCGTGGTGGCCCTTCTTCATATGGGACTACTGTATTTGGTCTGTCCTGAGACTGTGACCGCTCTTTGAAAGCCGAGAGGAAACGCTGCTTGAACTCTTGAGGAAAGCGAAGACGGCAAACATCCGTCTTGAACTTTACAAGACGTTGCTAGTGTGCTTCGAGAGGGGCATATCGAGGTTATGAAACCCTCGTTAAAATTTCATCCTAATCTGAGTTGCCGCCCACAGAATACAATTAACAGAATTCAGCTGCTTCCTTGTTGATTGAGCATAGTAAAATTCCATAGGGATGTTGCACTGTAGGCAGCTTTATATGACACCGTAAAAGCAGACATCCGTTTACAACGCATTGAACGTTTTCCACGCGACATGTCTACGTAAATGAATGTAACCGATTATGAAGAGAGAAAAGCGTTTAAGGGCAGGTTGAGGAGCTACCGAGTTACAGATTGAAGATTTTCAAGTACTGCTGTTGTTCTTCATTCCTCTACACAGCCAAGAGCGCCAACGCAAGATATATCAACGCAAGGTTGTGCTCTAAGAAATAGGCGCTTGAGGGTTACAGCGCAAGACATGTTTAGTCATCCATCAAAAGCATAATTCAGAATGCTGTTATCCAAGGTATGAGACGAATTCGTCACAAATGTACCGGCCTTATAAATGAAAATAGGCGATTTGATTGAAACCTGAAAACCCACTTATGACCGGTTTTGCATGCTGATGGCCTCAGTGATCTTTATGACCTTTTCTTTGGAAGAGGACACGTTACCATACCTGTATTAGATTTTCTCGTTGTTATCAGTATAATGGTAATATTGATGGAACAACTTTTCCATTTGATGCATTTGATGGCGTGCGCAGATCGGGCTGGTCACCCTAAAAAGTTATCAAGTCTCTGCTCATGTTTCTGAAAAAAACATTGCCATTCCGTTTCCTTCACAGACATTTGAGCCGTATAGGCGCGCCACTGTCCCTCTACATTATCCATACATTAGGGGCTCCGGGTCTATTGGTATATCACAGAGGGCGTGGCATCTTAAAACTCAGTCAACGAACGCAACATTTATCAGCCTAATCGCGGGCCAAAGTGCAGCAGTTTGGTTCTTTACATTCGCCGACTTAGACAAGCGCGAAGCTCAGTATAGCCTAACACTGAAGTATGGATCGTTCAGAAAGTATTCTTCTCCAGCTATTTTTCCTGGTGACGAAGCCAAACACATCTTGGGGATGTGTCCCCTTTGAGACCCCTATCTCCTTCAGTCCGAAAGAATAGGGAACTGTAGATGTTCTTTTCTGAACGCAAATATCCCCCTCTCTCTTAGAGAGATACATTGAAGGAAAGATACTTCAATATTTTGAATATCGTGCCAGCAGGACTTTGACGGCAGTGAAGCATCGGCGTTGAACACTGATGTCGTGCTGTTGATGATGAGGACTTTGACGCAGCCCCTACACACCATACATTCACTGGAAAAAACATCAACGAGGAAGTAACATTAAACCTCGTTTGAAGGCGGCAGTGAGCATCGGCGTTGAACACTGATGTCGTGCTGTTGATGATGAGGACTTTGACGCAGCCCCTACACACCATACATTCACTGGAAAAAACATCAACGAGGAAGTAACATTAAACCTCGTTTGAATCCCGGGCTTACATCAGTTTGCTTTACATGTGAGAAATAAATACACGATTGCGATGCATGCGGCGCGCGTTTTTAATGACTGTCAGAAGGTTGAAATCACCATAGGTTACCAACGAGAACTTCTGGGATACAGCTCACGGAACTACAGGAATTTCTTTGTTTCAACTCGGACTATACTCAAGGTATCTTCATGGATGCAACACTACTTAAACGCTGCTAACGTGTTGAATATCGGTCCTATTACACATGAGGAGTCTTTGTAAAGTAAAACGCAGTGCTCCAAGTTTCACTTAACCCAGGAGTATACGTTTTGAAGAATGGGGGTGACCACTCGGCCTACGCTAAAACGATTAGGGTAGTGCTAGGAGTAATCGTCAAGGTTTTCCTGGCAATTTTACTCATAGATGGCAACCACCAGCCATGACGTTGAATTAAATTTCCCGGTTGGGTCGATAACACCAGCGGCTGCTCTCTGTACAGATGATTACTATCACGCTTCTAAGCAACCGAACTTCGCTCAAAGAAAGCATTATGGTGAAAAAAGAGAGATTCCGAGTTGCCCATGCCTCCAAACGCTGACATCGCTATCTAACTCCAACCAAGCAATGAGGGCACTATGTATAGTTTACTGAAAGATTCAAACGTCGATAATATCACAATTCTATCCGAAAAAAGCAAAATGTTCAGCGCGTGAGCTGCGTGCCACCAGGAAGTGACAAAAGTGAACCAACAGCATATTGGAAAACTGTGCTCGTCCACTTGCCATTTTGAATAGGGTGTGATGGCTTCCTCAAAGCAGGTTGGATATCGTCCGATGGTGAATTGGGAACATACAAAGCAGGCCAACTGGAAGATCGGATGAGTTGAGCAGTCGGACAGAAGGAAGGCGAAGAACACATCTGACCCAAAGGCCATCTGACCCCAGGAATGTGGTGACTAGAGTCAGTCTGGATCACGGAAGTAGAATGTAGTTCACAGGTACTCAGCTGCGGTTGGTCTTGGAATTCATCATCAATAAACATGCCTTTCGTAGTCACGGTGTGCCGATGAGTGGTGACTGAGTGGGTGGAGTGGTTAGGTGGCGGGGTATAGCAAGCTGGGCTGGGGGGGCCACTTCGTAAGGCACAACGGTCTGTGGTGTTCGTGGCTGAACGGGGACGGAGTGGATAGGTGTGCTCACAAGTGCAATGATCCAATAGTTCCGATAGGTCGCTGACTTCTTGCTCCAGACAGGCCACGTGTGCTTTTAACCTGGAAGGGATGAAACCTAGTTGTGAATAGTGATCTGGGAGAATTAGGCGAATAGAAGTATATCGGCGGGAAGCACGCCCCATGCGAATTGATAGTTTCAAGAGCGAACAATACGGTCATGAATGTCAGGCAATGAGCGTGCGTAATTAATTCAGTGATTCCAACACTGCTGGTCTGAAAAAGAGGGTACCGTTCAACAATAGCGACAGAAACGTTGCTGCAGATTTTATTTTGATCTGGTACACACAGAAGAGCTGATTAGGGTTACATGAGCCATTCAGGCTATCGAACAGCTACCGTCAATTCCGTTAGTCACTAGAGGGCCCACCACTTATGCGGATGACTTCAGCTTCCATAGGTGCTGAGGTGATAGAGGTTTATGTATAGTGCATAATAAAATAGCCAGGATGTAGCCAAAAACCCCGAGGAACACATAGCTGAAGTTCCCGACCTCTGCTTCTCGGCTTGGGCAACCTGGCAGTATCCCAGCTCTCGTGCTTCCTTCTGTTGGGATCGCAGTTAGGCACCGAAAGGGCGCTACAGCTGGACGGCTTTTTACGACACTTGAAGTACATTTAAATTGTCCGCAAAAACTTTTTAGGGGCCGTAGCCTACTGCACCGTGTAAAATTTGTTTTATAAAACTCCACTTCGAATTTTCACTTATGAAGGTAGTGAGCTACGCGCGGAGATGCGGAATGGTCTGTACTTCGGAAAAGTCTAGTAAACAACCGGTTTGTAGATTATGGCGTGGGTCGGTAGTCATTTCAGGGGACAGCCGAGAAATTACATCGGAATCAGTCAGATCAGTATACAACGCACTGAAATTTGTGACGCATAGACTCTCATTCCCCCATTATCGACAAGTGAAACGATGATAAATGAACATTAAACCCAAGTCGCACTCAGATGTTCTCTGCGCGGACCTGAAATCTCGACATACGGATTATCTAGGGAACGACCGAGCATAGCTCCTGACGAAAACCTAGAGGATGGATAGACTAACGTTTCGCCTCCAGGCTGTGACGGGAAACAAGCCATCGCTGACAAGCAAGCACACAATGGTGCTATGAAATATGCCAGACTGCTCATGACGTACGTGTCACCGAGCACGGTTCTACTGGCCAGAATAACACAACCTGGGCATCCATTAAGGGTGGTTGAACATTCCCATTCTGATCGAGAACACAAATGGTTGAGAACAAACTGTCCCAATGGTTCTTCACTAAGCAAAGAGAATTGTAGAGTAGAAAGTGAGGTATTTGGTAAGTAGATTAACTTAATTCGCTATAATCCTTGGTTTGTTTGTCAACACACTGAGTTCGGTCTCAGTACCCCTACCGTTTAGTCTTACGTCCTTGTGCATCAATGGTTCTTTTTGTTCAAGCTCACACAATGAAAAAAGAATGTGCCATTCATCGGATGACTCGAACGAGCCATTGTTCAGCTCACACCGCCATCAAATGTACCCCAGGTCGATAAATTCCTGGACTTGTGAGTTATTCGCCACCGGGAACAACGTTTTCCGTAAGCAACGTTTAGTGCAAGTCTGTCCACCGCATTCACATAGTTTGCTGCACAATTGATTTTGCGTTATGTTCCAAAAGGGAGTTCGCGTCAGGTAAAACTGGGTGTGCTGGTCTCAGATTTGGAATCAATAATGAGAAGACAGAGCTATATGTGAAAATAACGTATGACGCCATAACTAGGGATAAAAAACTATGCGCTGAAACAAGATGCTTAAACCGGAGTTATATTCAGAACTGAGAAGTCGGATAGCTTGTCATAGGGATATTGAACAGAGCTTACTTACCGTGTACAGCACTACCGAACATTTGATGTAAAAGCGACTGATACTTGGGGTTTGATGGTGAAAAGTGAAGGTAAGGTAAAGTAAAGTAAAACCTCCGGGAAAAGACCGTTCACATGAGAAACCGCCTCTCAGACGATAAATTCACCACTCGATTGCTGTGTGTCGTCTCACCCAGAGCTCACCTTCACAATCCAAAGGATTCTTCATCGCACTTTTCTTCAGACGACAGACCACAAGCGGGACTATCTTCGTCTATTGTTGGACGCGCCGCATGCTGATGCATAACGTGACCTGGCCGCCTAAGCGTTATAGGAAATTCTTCTGATCCCCTTGCTTACACGCAACACATCTTATTGTGAGAACATACCCCGGCTACACTGGCATCCCCATCCACCGGCATTCGGATCCTTTTCCAAAGAAATTTTCTATTATAGTTCCAGGTATGTCGTCCTCTCTTCGCTATTCGGCACTCAAACTCAACCTGCTTCAGTTTTTTGTTTAGAATGAAAAGTTGCAGTATGTGTCAAACTGAATCTTACCCGTTTTGAGACATAATCCAGCGAGGGTTTGGAAGCAACAACAGTGCGCGTGCATGATTGGAGTCAGCAAAACAAGCAAAGAAACATTGGTGCACGACGTAGCAAGCGTAAATGATGATACAACGGGCCACTGCATATCAGATTTGCTGTCTATTATTGTCTAAGATATCCCACTGAATATGGACACCTCAATTAAGCTACGTGTCGCCTTCACGCGTGAATACAGAAAATCACTCTTGCGATGGTCACCGGAAGTGACTTGTTTACAATAGCTGTCCAGATATCTAGACTTCACTCGATTCTGTAAAACTGTATGAGGCGTGTTAACCCGGGAACCATCTCTCCCTTGCTGCATTAGAACGTACCAAAATAATGCTGACAAACGACCCCAACTGGCCTAACTGAAAATGAAAAGTACCAACACGATGACGTCCTTTATTTGTAATCTGATGAATGAAACAAAAGTCTGTATGTCAACCGAGGACATTATTACCAATACGGATGGTGACGCTCTCAGTCCCACACAATACCCCTGCCAAACCTGGCACAAACAACGGCGAAAACTGAAGCTCCTTTCAGGATTTTATGGCTAGATTGTTTGAATAGCGTGCTCCATTTCCACAATAAACCAGAGACTGAGTATAAGCTTTCAGAGCTGGTTGTCGAAAACGAAATTCGTCCTTTCATTTCTCACACTGATAGTATTTAACTTCTGGTGGTAAGTACCTATTACTATGTGTACATCATCCTCTCTTTTCGACACATCTCTCTAGAAATGGACGTTATGACGAAAGTGAACTGCAATCCGATACCAACTAACGATACTAAGACTTATGATAATTATGAAAAATTTAGAGGATCGTTGTCCTCAAATTCTCTGAGCTATGGTGCTTGGAAAAGTTTAAAATGATCCCCTCTATCGTGAATCTCTGTTTCAGTTCAACTGGGGCGACAGCGTATCTGTAGCGTAGAGAACAACCGTACACGACATGGAGTTATCGTGACCAGACTTGAAAACACGTGAAGCTTATTAGCGGCAATCGTAACCTATGCATACCAGCGTTCTTCTCCGTTGCTATCTGACAACGTCCAAGTACGTCGAAATTTAAAATAAAAACTGTTTCGTGTGTTTACCAGCAACTGTATGGAAGAGGGTCAAGTCGGCAGCCGTATGATCTGACGAAATGTCACTAAACAGCTGACTAAGCCGAATAAGTGGACTTAACTTTGCTTCGTTCACCCGAAGCTTCGTGAAACGTTTGTTCAAAAGGAACAACAACGGTGAGTCTAGAATATACTGTCTTGCTTTTTACACAGAGGGGATATATACAGGTGACTGATGCAAAATGACAAGGTTTTGACATGAAGGACAACACAAGAGTCTAATATTCCATTCTGGGGTGGGGACAGTAACAACTTTTTGGGTGAAGACAGTTTTTTTGGGTGGTGAAGCGGGCTTGGAGAGCGAGAGATGGAAAAGTAAATGTGAGCAATTGGTATGGTCATTCAGTTTTTAAAAATCCCAGCTCAGATTAGCATGCGCATACCTGTCAGGTAGACCGTTATTTCACACTCGTGTAGATCGTGTCAAGATGTGCCTACGTGAATCCTGGTTTACTGCGATGTTTCTGTTGGTTGCAGTACGTGTGCCCGAATATACACCGAGATAGCCTAATTTCGGTGGTCAAAAACAGACTGCTACTGTTTTCATAAAGGAAACTATCCACAAGGTTGATGCTACTATCTTCACAGAGTATCCAGTGGGGAGTGAAGAACTGAGCATACCACCAACAGGGGCAGATGAAGTTACGGTGCTACATCTGACGGACGAAATTCTCCCGAATGACTCACTAACACGACTGTGTGGATGTGCACTGCACTGCCAATTGTTTGGCCATTCTTCCAATACGAACGAATTGGCTCGACTTTCTCAAGAACGTAATTGGGTGAGGCTATCGTATACAGAGAAGCGATGTTATCACGCGTAAGTAGTTAATCTTGAGGACCAATGCACTCTCAGGAGCCATCGTAAAACAGGGCAATTATGCCGGACAACGTTTTGCTTTTGACAAAAAAGCTTTGTCAGGCCAAGTGAGTAAGTAAGCGAAGCGTCGCCAAGCAACAAATCCACCGATTGTTTACCAAACCTCTCTGAAACGATGACTACCCAATCGGTCTCAAACATCTTCCCATTGATTGAAAGGCAATTATGCTCTTCTAACCAAATTAGAATATATGGTAAGAGCACGAAACACTTGCAAAGTTACGCGTCAGCTGCAAGCGTTAAACGAGGATACCTGCTTGGTACTATAGGAAATCTGTTGTTTGAATATGCTACCCCACCATACAAGCACTTTACCTACATACATGGAAATCAAGTACGACCGACATTTACTTCCAGACAAGAGAGGTTTCTTTTAAATCCCAGAAAGTATCGGCAAAGTAAATCGAAGAAAAAAACCAAAGCATACCGTTCGATTTTCTGCCTATCCGCAGTCAATTCTTTGATAAGCTGACGGTTGAGTCGGTCCAATTCCTGATTGTATCCATCAGCCTCGTCCACCAGAGCACCACGCTTCTGGCTTAGAGCCCGTAATTCGGACAGCTGTTTATGAAGTAGCTGGAGAACAAACGTGAAGAATATACAGTTAAGTTTTGCAGCGTTCATATAAACAAGCTTTTTTGATGAGTCATGTTCAATGAGTCAGTGGGTGCCACACAGAAACCCCGGTTTCTTGAAAACTAATGTCCCAGGGTGAGAAACACATGATGGAAAGGACATATTGAGGCAGTGCCACAAAGCAAACACACAAGGCAGTGAGGTAGAAAGGGCGACCACGTTTTACGACGAACAGTTAAGAGACGAAGTGTGGAGGAGACTGTGTTTGACCTGTTTAGTGGATAACGCGAAGTAGGCCAGAGATTTGACTGACGAGGCTACTACCGCTGCATAAGGTTGCGAGCTACACCAACTAAAATCCGTATGCTCCGTTTTCATGAAGCTAAGCACGTGGTGGATATCTTTAGAAGTGCAATGAAAAATCACTGCCCGTAGAAAACGAGTGAGTATACGACGCAAATGGAAATGTGCTAATCCTTACGTTCCATCAGTCTGAATCTGACCTGATGAAGAAAACCTCTCGTCAACATCAATGATATTTGCGAACGAGTGTATTCCGGCAGTTACGTACAACTCGATGTTCATATGAAGCATGCGTTTGATGGGAACTTGGGGACTACGCCTACCCAAGGATGAAACCGTTGGGCCCGTTGTCGAAATGTTTTGAGCAACCTTGTGTCAATAGGATTTTAGGCATCCTCAGGCTTCTCTTCGCTTTCCCTAGTTAATGCACCAACTCCGATTCGCTTTCGATAGCACGGTGTAAATTATCCTTGATTCACCGAGAAAGTGCGTTCCACTGTCCGATTCATTGTCTGATTACGCCGAGAAGGTAGCAGATGGCTTCAACGACTTTTATGTTTTGCTAATTCAAATATAAAACAAACAGTATTCCCACTATAGAGAATGCACCTTAATGAAAACTGATATTCCTGATTTTGAAAGAGGAGCCAATGATGCGAAATTGGTGACAATTTCCTAGTCAGTTTAAAAAAACACAAAGAGGACTTAAATTGGCACAACGTAAGCCAATTTCATACCATTATTGATTTCCTTTCTTCTCTTCGACATCCGCGATATTGTGATCGGAAAAATGTTCTCCCAGAAAACAGGTGAGTGTAGGCAAAATTCGTGAAATATTATTTGGACAGCTAGGACCGCTGTACCATTCGTACATGGTTTGTAGCTGACGGTTCCCTATACCGTTTGCCGCCAATTTCTAAACTATTAAGGTGATGACAATACCGTTGCACAACGCATTGTTCCGCTTGTGATACTTCAGCATTCGGTTGATAGCCAGCGCACGCTCAGAGAGAAGGGTCGAATGAGAGTTAAGGTTCTCGCAAATAGCAAACGACCGGATGGGAATGCACGAAAGGATGATTCGTGGATGGGATATATCAACATAAACAGCCTCGAGGCTAAGCACAACAAATCCTTTGGGAAGCGCTACCAACAGTAGAATCATATGGTACATACGATTCATCATCGAGTGGACTCAGTGGCAAAGTTTGATGAGATCGAGATGAAGTGTACGATGGACTGAACAAATAATCCGTTGAGCTAGATAGGCATCCTCACTTCATTTTTGGTTGTCTGAGGTCCTCAAACATGGTTGGATTCAGCCACATGCATGTACAATCTGGGGAACGTAGCAGAGACATGAATTACGCGCATGCTAGGTGCTCCTTAACTGACAATTTCACTGAGTGGACACACAGGTTGAAGCGCGTCTTGCGGTATTCCATCAGACTGAGAAGCTAACGGGTAAAAAATAACGGAACCAAGTTTCGAATAACTTCAGGATAATCCAAGTCGGACAAACACTTGGTAGATCCACAGTAGCCCTCAAAAGTAGGTAACTATGTTCCGTGGAATTCCTCAGATCGTTCGAGACAAATTCCGCACGGTTGGGAAACGGTGTGATTAGGCGTGCATAACATGTTGAGACGCGTACTTTGCAACGGTTGTCGTGTATGGGGGTGTGATTTGGGTTGCAGGATGGACAAGGAGAGAGAATATCCGCGATGTGCGTACGTGCGTGTCAATAAGGTACAACGTCCGGCAACCTAGCGCACAGACATGTGACGTGAACAAACACGGGACTAGATCACGTTTGGCCACTAACATGGCAATTCTGTCCGAGATCCCGTTTGCTTTTGCGTGATAAAGTAGGAAATGCAGCAGGACCTGGAGCTCCTTTTTTGTGGATCGGATGGGATGCAGGATTTTTAAGAGGCTACCGATATTCCACTGTGGCTGGAAGGTCATTATCCCGATGTCTTTTGCTCAGCAGTGGTTAGGGAAAAATTGATCACAACTGATAGGCTGGCTTATAGTTGTACCGATTCCGCGAAATAAGCACGTTCAAAACACCTCAGGGGGATAGTTTACCATAATCACGATTTACCACATACGCGCACTGACTTGTGAAGTATGGTGACGACAGCGGCATACATCAGGCACATACTAGCGTAAATAATTAGTAATGCAGGCCATATCAACGGCATGTTTACATGCTTGGTCTCGACTGCGCGATGTGCACTCAACTACGTGACAGTTTGATATCCCAGGCTATTATCCACGAAAGTTTGCTCGTGATTCAGTAACGTATCCGGGGGAACAAATGGTTGTTTATCCGATATAGCTGGAACTGCATTAGATACGACGAACAAGAAAGAGACAGTCCAGTCTTAAAGTACAGAGCTGAGCGCCGAAATAAGAATCTTGTCAGGTTCACAACATTTGTGAAACTGACAAGATCCTTGTTTCGATCACTGGATGTTAGCACCTTTGATACACAAACTTTGTGTCCGAATAACTGAAACAAAGCAACTGCTGTCATTGCAGAACTCATTCTGTCCATACACGGACAGTGAGTCTAACGATTCACAACGAAATAAAAACAAAATAATCAAACAAAAACAAGTTGCTTTTGTGTCTAGGAAGAGACTCGGGGGTAAGGAACAACTGCGGTGAATTGCATTGGCAAACATGACCCAACCACATAATCAGTGACCACCGGCTTCAATGGACAGCTGGAAAACTGTAGCAGTGTTGATGAGCTAGTAAGATCACAGCTTCTTAAGTGTGAGAACGCCGTTGTTATTCTCAGGAACGAAAATGACGAGTGAACTGAGCATGCCTTTGATGGATAATTCATAGCTGAGTGATTTGCTTATTGACTGGCCTACCGATTCAGACCAACTGTTCTTCATCCTGTTCACTAAAACTTGTTGCAAACCTTCAATCCACATCCAGTTACAAGTGGAAAGGCATTCCACAACAAACCCATACCGTTTACATTGATTCCTGCAGTATTTAGTCACTTCCGTTGCAGGTCC